AAAAAAAAAAAAGAAAAAAAAGGATACATCGTGCGACGAAGGCGACGTAACGGAATGTCAACTTTAGTTTTTACTTTCTTACCTTAATGAAAGTATATTGCAATGAGTAGGTAATGGATTTTTATGCATTCACGGAAAGTTTAATGACGCAAAAATATATAAAAGTATCTGAAAGAGTTACTTATCGCAGGTGGACTGAAATAGAACCAGGTAAAAAATATTTTTACGTAATACGCGTATTCTACGCATTTTTGCATCTTCAAATTTCCCACAAATGCATAAAGATCCTAGTAAATACTAACTTGTAGTGTATTATATATTATAACTTATAATATTTACAATTGTTACAATTTGTTAGTAGGCTAAGTTTAAGTTAGGACAATTATCTGATAAAAATACCAATCAGTCTGCTTGTAATTGAAGTTCCAAGAAACTTTTAATTAAATTATTTTTTGTAATATTGATTTCACTGTGTGACTTCTAACTGCTACAATGTATCATTAAGTGAAAAGGTCGAAAAATTTGGAAAGCATCGCTTCAATTATGAGCAGACTGCAAGTCCTAACTTAAACCTAACTTAAACCTACTAACAAATTGTAACAACTTTAGGAATCTACGTGAAAGAAATAGCGACAAAAGAAAATGTTAAGTAATTCTCTAACAGCCACAACAGTTGGAAATTATCATTCTCGACAATGTGAATTGATTGCAAAAATATTGCGTTAGCAGAACTTTAACTTTCAATGAATTAATTCTGCATCTTATCATCCAGTGATTGCGTGTCTTTTTATACGACTGCAAAAGTTCAATATTACAAAAGCGGGATGTAAAGCCTCACAAAAGAGAACTTTATTGGAAAATAGAGAAATGCAAATACTTTTGTAGTAGATGCAAATACTTTGTGTAGTCGCTGTAGATATAATCCTTCTACCACAATGCAGAACGCGCTCGCAGAAATCCTGCAACATGAAACACATCGGACAGAAATTAAAAGATACTATTCTTTCGGTTTCCTGGGAAAAGGATGAAACATGGACGTGGGTCGTTGTTGCTGCAAACTCTTCAAATATTTCTTTTATCACGCGATGCGAGTTTCATTCTGTCGTGATTTCGAGTACAAAGAATAAAGGTGCGACCACGTTGTTTCCCTAAAACTGGCTCATCCTTGCCGCGTCAATTGTTCTGGAAACATTAACCACGCCTGAATGCATCGGCTTTAATCGAAGCAAGCAAGAAAAGTAGGGTTTTTACAAAAACCATAACGCGATGAACCTTTTCTACTCGATCAAAGCTTAATGCATTCACTTTTCGGCGAAGCGAAGAATCAAATTTCCAATTATCCAGGTGAAAATTTCCTATATCGATAGACCGTTCGATTGTTTGATCCTTTGTTAACTCGCTACATTGCTCTTTCTATTTTACAGTTTTAATTTGAGGGGCAGAAACCACTTTCTTCGCGAGTATTATCCGGGAAGTACAGTGTTAAATGTAAAACCGCGAAACGTGCTTAATGAAGTGAATTTCAAAGTCCTGTGTAATTTCTCGTCACGTGTATTAGGCAAAAATATAAATAAAAGACGAGTCGCTAGAATAATTAGTAATATTAACGATTGCCGTCGTATTACTGCGTTTTCTCATGGGTCAGCGATTCTGAGGAATAAGAATATTATTGAAGAATAATTTAATTCAATATTATTTAATTAATTTCTATCTCTTTAATTGTATCCATAAAAAAAAATATGTTTACATAAATACATTTAAAGAGATGGAAATTAAATTAATAATATTCAATATTGGACATTTCGTGGATTTTTGTATGTTGTAGATGTTACCGTACATTTTAATTGCAGCATTTCGTAATCGTATTTTAAAATTATTACTTGACATTCCAATGGAATTTATTTTGAAGAAAAAAATTTGAATGAAATTATTAATGACTTTGAGCAAACGACCGCGGTAAAATTATTTCAGAATTATTGAAAAAAATTTCGATAAAAATACGGGGCACGAATGTGTTGATGAGAGAAGACAGTCGAAGGAAACGAGAATAATCAGAAAGTGGTCGCGACGCGAAGACTCGATTACACGTTATTGATAAACAAACCAACGAGTCTCGTCTTCGCTTTTCCCAGTATCTCGAAAACTCGAAAATATTTCCTCTGATCCATCACGAATAAACGAGCAGTTTGCTAGTCCCGCGTGGCCACGATTATCCAGTCGAGAAAATAAAAAAAGCGCATCGTTAGTCGCGACCATAACGAGACGGGCACGTGCATGCGCGAAAGCTCGGCTTTTTCAAAGAGGTGGAAAGGCAGCACGTAAAAGTAAAGAAAGAATATTGTCAGCCTCACGTGGAAATATGTGTTATTCTGAGTTCAAAAATCTGTGTTACCACATTATAATAGGACAATGTACACGTATCTGATTCATGCGAGTTACAATGAGAAGAATGTTTAATATATCTCTCCGAAAAAAAAAATATTCAAGAAAATTGTTGTAGAATTGAAATTGGATTGGATTCAAGTGGAGAAAGCAAATTTTTTGGCTATCAAAGCAATCAAAACAATTAAATTCGCAATCTTTCGTAGATTTAAAATAGCTGTAGAATAATAGAATGGAGATTAAAAACAAACAAACATAAGGGTAAATTATAGGGATAAATTATTCATTATCATATTATATATTAATAAGGATATATTATTCTGTATTTTCTATTCTAGGTTATTTTAAATCTATGATTAAAAGATTATTCTATTATAGAGATGTATAAAAGTATTATTCGAAATAGTCTATTACATTTATTCTTAGAGTAATCTACTATTCTTAAAATATAATCTAGCTAGAATATTTTTAATATTTAACATTTTCTCAGAATATTTTTAGAATAGTCTAGTTAGGATATTCTTAAAATATTAGAAATGATAGAACATTTTTACAACATTCTTCAGTATTGATACTCAATTCTCTATTCTTTAGTCTTGTAGAAAATATTCTTAAAATATTCTTAACAAAATAAAAGATAGCCGGCTATTACTAATAGCGATAACTTTTGTAAAATAGGTAGATAAAAAGCAAAAAAATTTATAGATAATTTCTTTGACAATAATAATAATACTTTAACCACCACAGTGGTTTTGACATTAAAACACAAACTGTTGCAGTGATGAGCTCCCCTTCTCTCTCTTTCTCTTTCCCCTTATAAAATGATTTATAAAATAATTATTTATAAAATATTTTATTAAACGAAATTTACGTGCATTTGCGATTATGTTCATCCCGCGAATTATTCTCAAAGCACGTGTAACGTGTATTTTGAATATTAAAATACCCTTTAACCGACTGCACAAACGGCTGCAAAATTTAACCTCGTTATCCGCGCTTCTCGACAAACATTTTCGCACACTCTTTCAAATAATCCGGCAGCCAGCGGATAACACTTCCCTGGGCGAGTTTGCCTTTTCCAACAAAAGGAGAACGAAAAGCAGAAAAAAGAGTAGCGGCGCTTTAATGACTGGATAAAGAGCGGGATTAACTGGAGAGAGGGCCGATGGCGCATCGGCGGTGAAGTTGGTAGCGTCAGTGTAAAATAAGCAGTTAATCGGACGAGAGTGGAAAATTAGAAAAGGAAGTAGGACGTGGTCGTGCGAGATTAGATAAAGAGTGACAGAAACGGTTTAATTAGACGAGCATCTGCCCAGGTGTAATCACACGTTGAAATAACACGAGCGTTAAGATGAAATTTCCTATAAGCGTCAGGTGCATTTATACTCCGATACAATGGAGAAGTATGTTCCTGTTTCTCCGTACGCGACTTTCAAATGTTGCAACCGCATATAATTCTTATAAAAATTATCTCATTTCGTATATAAAAAAATCTCGTATATGACGCTTGAAAATCACTGTGGCAAACATTGTCAAATGGACAAAATCTCTGTCACGCTAAAGTGTCGGTTCAGTTATGACATTGGAGGATTAGATGAACTTGCATTAAAAAAAAAGAAAAAAAGATACCGTCAGTTATCGTTACTTTGAGCAATTTTTAGGAAAATAAAAGATACGAAAACAGAACGGAAACTTGTAATTGTTTTATTTATACAATCAGAGGAAATATCGAAGAGAAATAATGGAAGTAAATAAAAGTCGGACAGCAATGGAAATCATGCTGCGAATATTTTTGATTACGCCTGACACGGATGCGACATTTGAAAATCACGTATAGGAATACAGAAAATATCTCTGGCGCGTATGTCGAGACGCTGACATTTATAAGAAATTTCACCTTTGCCAGATACGGATCCTCTAACTTCCGTCCAACCATTCAAGACCCGAAGCTGTCGTCAAATAAAACAAAAATCGGACTCGCGACTGCGACGTTGTTGAACGCAGCGTGGAATGAAAACCGAGAGCCAACAATATAAATACAAAAATAAGAAGAAAT